TGTAACCGTTACTTTGCATGCCATTTCGTAGAAAACGGATCGATCGACTGGTTCACTGAAATCTACGTACTACCAGTTACCTATATATATGATCAATGGATCGGATTTGTAGCACGACGATTGGATTGGATACAGTCCGGTCTTTTAGAAAATATAAGGACCAAAGATTGGATTGGATACAGTCTGGTCTTGATCCGGTCCGGTCCCAATTCGGTCTCGATTTTATATTGAGCTTGTGGGGGATTTGAGTGGCCTAAAGCCTGAAAGGGTGAGGAGTTGGTTAAGTTTTGTACTAAGTGCAAAGGTTTGTGACCGTTTATGCAAACTACCCTTAAGTTTTGGGTGTTGAGCTCTCTTATCCGGTCTTTATCCAGTTTTCGATCCGGTCCCGAACGGATTTTTTTGCCTCAAATCTAAATCCAGAGATTGGATTTGATTGGATTGTTTACTATCCGATCCCGGTCCAGTCCCGATCCGGGTTATACGATCCGGTTTCGGGTAAAACCAAAAAACCCGGACCAAATAGCCAGCCATGTTTATTACCTCTAAGTAGGTAATTAATTCGCATGGAATCTTGTTCCGGCAACAGGAGGAAAGTCAAAAGGCCGGCCTATGAAAAAGTTGCAGTGTTAGAAGCTAAGAAAGGATAATAATATCACTGTTTCCCATAAATGATGATCGGCAATGCCAAGCTCTTTAGTATCGGCAATGTCTCTTCCAATCTTCTATATAGAACCCTAAATAATACGAAAGAATAGGGTTAGGGTGGTAAAGTCATGGACCTTTCGCCGGCGGCAGAGGAATCGAATCATGATCGCCACTCATCGGCGGCGAATAAGGAGGAAATGCTGTCGCGGGGGAGGAAGTTTGGGTGGTCATATCGTTTCTTTTTCGGTGACATTAATAGCGGGCTGCGTTCGAGATGGAAGCTCCGGCTCTGTTACGCCGGCGAAGACGACACAGCCTCCGCCGGCGGGACTGCAACGCAACAGGTGAGGGTCATCCATCCGGTTGATAAACGGTATATGATCCACAATACCGCGATATACGTACTAAATACTTTTATAACTCTCGTTCCTGAATTATTCTAGAGCTGTCTGAATGTTTTACATATTAAGCACAATGTTATGTATATTAAGGGGATTGGATCGATAATTTAATATTTTTATTTAATATTCGTGTCTGATTATACATTTTGATTAATAATTGTTTCCGAAAATTTCGAACAAATTATTATGCTAAAATGATGGGTAACATTCTGTACATGTTAATACCGTGATACTCATATCATACGATAAAAATATTTTTATATCAGCAACATCAATGACGTGATTTTATGGTAGAAATGCGATTCAAACTCAATTCTACATTGACTTGTTTTAAAACAGTTTTAAGTGGTCGTTTGGAGATTAGATTTGGAGTATAGATGAAATAGAGTCCATAAATTTAGAGGGAAAAAAATGTATAATCATATTATTTTGTTGTTTTTTGCATCATAAATCTTATATTTATATATCTAAATCATCTAAAATCTAGTTATATAAATCTCTTATAAATGTAAAAGTTATATCTTGTCGATTTGCAAGATTATTTGTTCCATTGTTACCAACATAGACCTTTCAAAATATTTTTATCAATAATAGCAAGAATCAAATCGTTAAACTAAAATACAAAAAAAAAAAAAAAAATTTAACTCCAATTCAACAAACCAATAATAAATCATTTCTTTGTATCGAATTCTTTCTAACCCCGCCAAAAAACAAGCCATTTTATTGTCCTTTTGTGTTGTGAGCTTCACCTTTTCTCCAACGGATCCTTTCTTCAACTCCCCGTTTCAATTTTCAGGTGACGGCCCCATCGGAAACTTCGCCGGAGATGGATCCCAGAATCTGGAACTCGCTGCCGGAGGACATCCTCTATCGCATCCTCTCCGTTGCATCTCTCCAAACGCTCTTACTTCTCCGATCCACATGCAAACGCTTCAATTCCCTCTTCCTCTCCCCTGCCTTCATCTCCAGTTACAAATCCTCCCAACCTTCACCCTCTTTCCTCCTCCTCTCCCACCCGCACTTCGGCCGCAACCGCTTCGCCGTCTACGACACCCTCCGCCGCCGATGGCGCAACCGCGCTTTACCCATCTCCACTTTCCTCCCCAGATCCCTTGCTTCATCCACCCTCCTCGCCTCCTCTAAAGGCATCCTCTGTTTTTCCTGCCCTGCCTCCCCTGTTTCGTTCCTCATCTGCAATTTCTCGACCAAATCTACAAGGATCGTCAAATTCCCAAACCACCCTTTCCCGATTGACTCCCTAACCTTAGTAGTCCCCACCCACTCTTCCGGCGGCTACAAAATCTTCGCCCTCTGCCCCGGAATCTCGTTCCGACAGGGATTCGTCTACGACTCTGCGTCCCGTCGTTGGCACCAATTCGACGACATTACCCCTAATATTAAAACCAATACCCGCCAGGAAGGAGTAATTCACGGTGATTCCCTCTACTTTTACACCGTGGAGCCATACTCGATCGTTGGGTACGACTTGGAGCAGAGGAGGTGGAACAGAGCATTGAGCGTCGGGGAACTCATCGGCGGCGGCAGTCGGGTTTCGTTTGTGAGGTTGGTGGGCGACGCCGGCGAGCAGAAGATGTACTTGATCGGCGGAATTGCGACGGGGTATGGGACGGTGAGTGAGGTGAAGGTGTGGGAACTGGATGACGCGGGAAGGAAATGGGTGGAACAGGGGAGCATGCCGGCGGAGATGTGCCGGAAATTCGCGGCGGTTTGTTATCACAATTACCAGCATTTGTATTGTCTGTGGCATGGAGGGATGATTTGCCTGTGTTGCAATACTTGGCCGGAGGTGTTGTGGTTCGACGTCGGGGCGAGGGAGTGGGGATGGCTGCCCAAGTGCCCTCTGCTGCCGGAGAAGGGGAATTTTGGGTTCACTTGGTTTTCTGTTGTTCCGGATTTGAATACCTTGGTTTGAATGTTCTTCTTTTCCCTATTTTTTTCATTCCTATGCATGGTTATAGGTAAGAGAGAAGAGGAAAGGATTTAGGGCTATGTAACAAGGTATCTTTTGTAGACATTTATGTTAAGTACCGGCATCGACAAAACCGAACAGAACGGATTAACGGAAGATAATTTATCGTTCTTTTCAGAAATTTTTGTATGAGAGACTGACATGTTCACGGTCACTCTATCAATGTTGATAATGATTGTTCTCTCTGCTTGTGATGATTTAGTCTTCAAGTACAAAATTCAAGGATCATCATCTCCATCCACGTTTCAGAATCATAGATCTTGATAATCTTAAGTAAATTTTCAGGATTGAAGTCTCGAAAAATCGAAAGAATGGTGTCTTGGATATTCTCTGAGATGCATGAGTTGCTACTACAGGTGTCCCTTCTCTTCTTTCATATATCAAAATCAAAATTTGACCACTTTGAAAGAGGAGCATCGAACTCAAACTTCTATCAGCGTTTGATCACTCGTCTTCTTTCCCTTAGTAATGACTCCCCATAACATTACTTATTCTGAGTCTAACATAATCAACAACTTTAACCAAGCCTCAAACATAATAAGTGCACCTATTTAGTTAATGTTCTATGAACCCAACATACATAATTATTAACCCTAACTATTACCCCACTTCTTTTTCCCACATAAACTATTACCCTACTTTCCTAAAGACAATTTGTCGAGTTCATGGCAATCAAGGAACATTAAACAAATGAATCCAACACATATATTGGTCTCTCTCTAAACATCTTCATTCACAAATTACAATAAACTATCATGGATTTGCTCCCTAATCTCATAATCAATCCTTCTATTGGTCTAACTTTGACACTTCTCTTGTGTAGCCCACTTGCATCCTTTCTCCCATTAGTGCCTACCACTATCCCAATTTGACCTTGAAAAAATTTTGGCCGAGGGAAATGCCGAGACACGATGGAGCATCCAAAGGCTTTTATTATTCATAGTTTTTGCTCTGTTCTCAAGTGCTGTTTGGTACCACGGATGAAAAGAAAAGAGGGAGAGAAAATGTGTGCACTTTCTCGGGAAAAATATGGGTGGGAAAATCAGGACCCCTCCCTCCACTTTCCATGACAATGTTGAAGGATCGATGGCATAACACGTATTGTGTTTGTATGGTCAAATTTCCATTCGAGTTTCCCTTTGTTTAATTGCCTTCCCCTCTGTTTGTGTGATTCGTCACTTCTTTCTTTCATAGGTTGAAAAGTAACTAACTATGCACCATTTTGGGTTTAGCAAAGTCCTCAATCATCATCTCCAGTACTCCACTCATATCATGTCAGCTATAGGATCTATAGATGATGGATGAAGTTGCACTACTAGAGCTGCAATTGCTCTAGGTCAACAATGTTAACTCGGATTCATCTCGAGTTTGGAGTGGTTCCGGTGGTGGGATTCGATGCATTTGTGCTGTTATGATTGTACCTGAGATTTATTAGAATTACTTATCGGTTTTGATCATAACGTGGTTGAGATGTTCGTAAAGTTTGAACGATCGATATATAAAGAGGTGGATCTATTCATAAGAAGACAGCTAGACAAGTTGTCTCATGCGTGGATGGACTTTATAACCATACAGGTCTACCTATATAGGCTACGTCACAGTCCCACAACGTAGTGTTATTTCACCTAGCTATTTGCACACTTATTAGGTCGATCATTCTGTAATAAAGGTTGATATATTGAAACATATATGATATATCCATGCCAGATGAAATTGATGATCAAACTAAACTTGTCCGAAACAACACGAAGAAGATGTGATGTCACAATGAGCAATTTATGATACTCAACTCTTGAGATACTATTTGTGCTAACTTGTAAATACTTGCTTGATAATGAATTTCCATTCTTTCAAGGATAAAATGCTTTAGAAGACACGATAACATAAGTAATTATGTGATTACATATTATGATTGAGCCGAATATGAATAGCAGGCAACCAGACTCACCGTGTTATGTAATGCGACGGTGTACATGAATTGCATGAAGTCGGTAATTGAATACTAAAATAAATAAGTTTCTTTTGTCGAAATGATATGGGAAATGAAGAGAGGGGATGAATGCATACTCTATCAAATAGGCAACATCAACAGTGGCACCCAAAAAGGTGAAGTATAAGTGGGTGGGGGGAGGGCAGAACAGCAACAACTACAAGAAGAGAGAAACAGCTGCCCTGCCCACCCTCCAAAGTTGAAGCCATGCAAATTATATATGGGGATATGATTGTGTTTATTCCCCTGCTTCTCCTTTGTCGCCACATGCACTGCACTTTTCTTAACATTTGATGTATGTTACACTGATCTGAAACAAATGGCTGTATAGTTGACTTTTGAGGATACAGCAGCAACATTTCTTGGCCTAAACTCTAAAGTGGCTCTTAGAGAGGGGAAGAAGAAAAAAAACAGTAGTTATAATGCCATTTCATCATCATCACCATTACCATTACCATTCTCTGTAGCTATATGCAGTGAGTGGGTGCACTCAGTAAAAACCCAGTTTTCTGCCCCCTCAACCCTTCTGAAATTTGTCTGTGGTGATCAAAGCCCTTCCTTATTCCCTTGTCCACTAACCAAAGGTTCATATATAAATAGGATATGGCTTCTCCCCCCCAATCTCCCCCTCTTCTTCCCATCTATTGTAAGCCCTCCAATAGCAGTACTCTGGCATAAAAATATTACCAAGTTGGAGGAAGTTAAAGACCCACATAGAGCTTCAAGCCATTTAGGTAGCTAGCTAGCTAGCTATCCCCATCCATGGCTATAGCAACTAGTACCACAAGAATGCTCACCACCTGTCTGCTGCTCTACCTCTGCCTCTTCACTGGTCTCAGCAGCTGCTCATCTTCAACTTCAGCAGGTATCAGTGCAATGTTTCTCTTCCTCCATGACCTTTTAGTGTCCTTTTTTTACCAACTGGTCACCCATTTGCTTCATCTGATCTAGTACCAAAGTGTTAACTGATGGAGTACTGTGCTGCAGCAGGAATGGCTGAGGGCTCCAAACAAGGCATCATGGTGGATCCAAATGATGATCTCCCTCTCTATTACAAGGTAAATACATTAAGCCATTACAGCAGATAATAAGTACTATATATTATTAGGTAGTATCAGCAGCAAATAATGATGATGAATATGCAGGATGGATACCAAGAACTGAAGAACAAGGTGAAGGTGATGATGAAGACAAGGAAGCTGCTTATGATGGATGTGAAAGATTATGATGAAACTGGCGCAAACCCTAGACACGATCCTCGCAAGGGCAGAGGCAGGAACCCTTAATTACAAACCAGAATCATCATCACCACCCTTATTAGTAAACTATTAATACATATATTTAGCATCGTTTAATCACTATTAGTTATGATCATCATCATTGATTAGTTAGCGCTCGCCGTTTCAGATAGGCCCAGCTGCTTCATTGACTACCGCTGGTTACTGTTGATTACTTTTGTACTATGAGATTAAGAATAAGAGAAGCAGCTAATCACTTTATAAGATATATTTACATTAATTAAGATGTATCTCTACATGATGTATTAATATAAAAGTATAAGTTAAGGAATTATGTTCAGTTTAATACGACTTTGAAAGCCAGGCCACTTATCTTTTCCCCTTCCACTATTATGCTTGGCACAAAAAGAGGTCAGGAAACTGCCACCACCATAACAAATCCACAGACCTTCTCCTGCAACTCATTTTCAACTCTTTCATCCCCACTATAGGTCCATGGTGGGCTGCAGCTAGTCTAAGAACATCCACTAATGAAAATGAACCAGCAAATGAATCCCACCATATGTCAAAACACTGTCATCCCATCATCACACTCCCAATTCAACTCAACAGAGATATGGCTGCAAGTATGAAACATTTCATGCCCCAGGAAGCTGCGATTTATTTGAGTATTACCGAAACATGTACAAGTAGTCTATGTCGATTGGAGTCGATCTTTTCTATATACACATTTTTTCGATGAGTTTGTCTAATCTATAAGGAGAACAGAGATGATGACATCCATATTCCAAGAGAGACGATACCAAGCGTAGCGAAAGCTTGGCCTAGTTCAAACACAAAGTTCTGCTGCTGGAGTGGTGGTATACTTTGCCAATCTGTCTTCCTGCTCACCAGTCAAAAAAAGCCAAACAAGAGAATTGAGCCTCCACACCACCATTTACACTTACCTTTTGAAGTTTTTCTAAGAAATGATAGAAGAGAGCTACTGGTCATGATAAAAGAGTTAAGACAGAGAGTGCATTACCCTAAATCCGCAATGATGATGCTGATGTTGTCTTGTGAACGCCGATCAAGAGCTGCGCTAGCAAGTTCTTCGCAAGCTAGCTGAAATCAGAAGATGAAACTACTAATCACTTAGTAATGTCTGCAGCAGGATTGATTTTCATCGAATTAAGGTGATTATTATGCGTTTACATCTTGTTTATCGATAGGAAAGCAAACATGACATGACGGGTTACCTGTACATTTCCGTGCTGCTTAAGTTGATCTCTAACAAATTGAACTGCATCTGAGCTAAAATACACAACAGGAAGAAATGTAGCTTTACTGAGCTTCTCCCACAGTTGCATTATAGAGCAGAAAGTCAAACTATGTATAGCTAAACCACCCACCTGTTCATGTAGTCCCACAAGCCATCAGATGCTAATACTACAAACTCTGCATCTGACCCCAAGCTCACTTGATATGTATCTGGAGATGCAACTACCAAGTCTCCATTGAATTGTATTCTATCACACGATCATATATAACCCATAAGGACGTTAATACTAGAAACATAATAAATTTGAACCGATTAGAGAATTCAAAAGGATGAAGAATGTCCATACCGAGAAGTAAACTTCTCTGTCCACCTCCCCTCCTGGACTCCTTTCTGCAGCATTCTAGTCATATGCACCGTATATACTACCATCAGATGCCGGTTCTCCAACCAAATGTAAAATGAAGAACTAAAACCATTATCACAAAAGGAAGTGACTCATGGGCTATACTCTTTTTTCTTTGTCTTGAACCGCATATCACCAAATGCACGCGATATAGCTATGTCCCCACAAATCCTCCCATTGTTTATCTACAGGCATTGCAGTCAGTTTATAACACTCACTGCAAGACTAGCTTGTAATGGATTCTATTACAACTCAAGACTTCCAGTTGCATTGCTTACACAGGTAACTATAATTCGTATCAGCCAAGGGAAAACATTTCTTAAACGAATCCAATTTATGTAATAGATAAGAGCAAACAAAAAAGATCAGAGAAAAACACACCCATCCACCTGCTTCCCTGATTCTTCTGATTTCTTGAAGGGAGGTTTTGTTGTTTCCATAGGGACGATGAGGGTCAGTCAACACTTCTGCTTTACCAGAACGAGACAACACCTGAACCAAATGATTCCACATTTAATGAACATTCCCCTTCTTTTCTAATAATAGACACCATTGATCATATGCAAATTGACTAAATAATTAATATGCTAACCACAGTCGAATCCCCAATGTGCGAAATGATGAGCATGTCACTTGCAATGAACACCACAGTTGCAGTGGAACCAGACTCATCCTCGCCGTAATTCGTTTCGAGCCTTCAGCAACAAGATAGCAACAACACACAGTCTAAATTAGCTTCCCCATTTTGCATCATTCACTTGGGCAAAAGCTATAAAAACACCAAGAGCCAATGAAAGACTACGTTTTTTTACCAACTTAGCAGTCTTGAATCGGCATTCTGGAAGGCCCCTTCAAGAGCCGCTCTAATGGCGCCGAAGTCTTTCCCGCCCAATAGCGACCCACCTTGTAAAGCCACAACACACTCCTTGAACAATTCATCCCTGTATGGAAAAAAAAATTAAACAAAACAAGAAACGGGAAATCCGATCGGGCAATTTGGGGGAAATTTTGATCAGAACAAAATTAGGTCTTTTTTGGAAGGGGGTTGTTACCTGAGGAACTTGACGGAATTGAAGCCGGCGTGGCCGTCGAAAACAGCGGCGAATGAGAATCCGTCCTCAGAGCGAATGACGATATCGTCCTCCATCTCCTCACGGGCGCCCTGAAGGGAAGTGAAACCCCACCTGACGCCGGCAACATCGGCGAGAGAAGAAGAATTAGGGGCGTCGATGGCGATCGCGGGACAATGAAGGGTTTTGGTGGATTGATGGTGGCGACCACCGAAGACGGTCGATACGTTGGATGTGGGTATGGAGAAACTGCCGCCGCCGGAGCTGGTGGCGGTGCAGCAGTAGCCGAGCTGCTTGGTGAGGATAAATCGCTCCAGATGCTGTGGCCCGAACAGTGCCATGATTGGGTGAGTCGGACCAGTCGAGTCAGGGGGAGACGAGTGAGCTCAGTGGTACATCGGGTAAAGCAGAGAAGAGAGAGAGAGAGAGAGAGAGAGAGAGAGAGAGAGCGGGTTACCGGGTTAGTGGTGATGGTGAATTCCGGTTGAGAGATGGATAAGAGGATCAAGGAGAACCAAAAGCTTCACATCTAACTGATTTAACGGTCAGATTTTCTTTCCTACCAAAATCATTACTTTTCGTTTTTTTAGTTGATTTTTTTAACATTTTCAATTTTTTAGTTTATTATGAAAGGTGAATAATTGAATATACATGTTGGGCCAATTAGGACATAAATTCTATTTTGGTGTATATGATTAAAATTAAATTATAATTCTTATATTTGATCATTCGATTAATTATTATTTTGGATTTATTTTTTCAATTGTATAACAAGAACAAAAAGTGAGTGAATTTGTGGAAGAGGAAAAAATGAGATTTGTTTACATTTTTAAGTATTTCTAAGACTTACCCGGTACAATTTTATAAATATATCTCATAACCATTATAAGTACTAATTGACTTACGAGTAAAAAAATGCTTGAATCAATGTAAAATTAGGTTATATCATCATATTGAATAAAATATCATGGTTAAATTTAAAATTTGATAATAATGGTTTAGCATTGTAGTAGAGTGTATTTCATTGCATACACCCAAAATCAACTATGTATTATAGACATGCCTGCGAATATTATATGTTGTGGTTATCTAATTTTCTCTGAACCACCATGAACAATGATACATTTTATGTATATATCTCGAATGTTTATCTTAATTATCATGCACGAAATTAACCTATAATTCGAAATATGTTATAAAGATGTTATTCTTGTTCATCTTGTTCTTGTAATCGTGTTTCTTTTCTTATATGTATACGTTCATACTTTCCGGATTTATGAAGTACGATAAATATTCAGATTATGATTTCTTGATGTGGCTATAGATATAGATAGGAAAGACACCATACATGTATACACATCCACAATGTTACAACACCTTTTGATTATTTTCTTTTTCCAACTCCTAAAGCTACTACACAAGGAATATGTACCCCTATCTAAAACTGTGTTACAAAGTAGAAGTTTTATACAAAGGAAGAAAGAGAGAGAGAGAGATTGAAATAGACTGAAATTAATTCTAGAGTTCATCATGATAATCACTCTCATAAACACTATCATAAATGGCGGTGTAGAATATAGTTTCATGGTTAAGCATTTCTTGCAATGTCAAATGATCATCTCCATCATCATCAGCCTGCCAATTAACCCACAATTAATTAAAAACACAAAGTTAATTAACAATAATTAGTTTGATAATTCTCTTATATATGTGGGACTAATAAATTGAACCAATCCTTATAAAAAAAAAAAAAAATGAACCAATTAATTAATTACCGCATCGATCAAATAATGGGCGTAGGATTTGGCATAAGTAAGCTCCCCGGGCTTCAGGTATGGAAGTATGGGCAGCAATTCCTCCACACTCAAGAAGCTGATTATTAATCCATGGAGAAATGGAGAAAAAAATAAATTAACGTTTGTATTTTTATTATGACGTCGAGAGAACTTTTACCAAAATTAAGACAAACCACAATTATTATCGATGCGTTAATAATTACTTTTCAAGTTAATTTTAACGTACTTATCATGGTCGACGTCAAGGTCCGCAAACTTTTCTTCCGCGGTAGGAACCCTGATCTTCTCAAACTCAACGTAAGTCTTGTAAGCGTTGTAAGCGTATGTCACAAACTCGTTGAAATCGAGCCTTTCATCGCCATCATCATCCATCCTCCTGCTCCAAATTATCTCATTTATTAGTCAAATATTGATGGTCAAAGAAGATGAAATGATCAATAGAGAGATATGGAAAATTGATTAATAATTAACCCACTTAATCTTTTCCTTAAGCAACCATATCTTGATTCTTGTGTTTTGGCTATCTTCTGGATGCAAGAAGCTGCATATATATAGATCATGAAAACCGGTAATTATTATTCTTCAATATTAAAATAAGGTAAAATCTCCGTAAGATGCGTGGATTTGACTCGCCTACCGTTATGATTTGAGTTTACGATCATAGCGGGATAGAGGAATTACTGTCGAAAATCGAAATCATAAAACGAAAATGTAAAGAAAATGATCCAAACACATTGCTCACTTGTTGAATTCGTGGAAGTCAAGAATTCCATTCTCGTTCACATCCGCTATTTTGAACAACTCCATCCACCATCCGGCTTGACCATGACCCATCTCATTGTTTGCTGTACACCAAAAAAAAAAACCTATTTTCGTACTAAATTTCGCTCATTGAATAACATTTCGCTCATTGAATTAATATTCTTAACCTCATTTCTGATCTTCTTTAAGAATTGTAATCGAGTTTCTCGTCTTTCATTTGATTGGTGGAATAAAAGTTGGTACTCTTTATAAAAAAAAAAACATTTAACAATAAGTTTGTGATAACACGTTGAAACACAATACACTTATGACATTTTGTAAGTTTTGCAATTATAGTTTTTTTTTTTACCCTATCTTTTTTACCTTGATAATTAAATCTTTTTATTTTTATTTTCATGCAAAGTTGTGTTGTTCTACGTTGCTGCGTACGTACCCAAATCCAAGCTGGAAAACTGGGGGAAGAACTCCTTGAAGCTAACGGCGCCGTCGCCGTCCCGATCGTGGGACAGCAATTCCTTCTGCGTCCTGTACGCCAACCGATCGCTGCCACGTGCCACGTTCCAATTCGCCATCTCCGAGAAGCCGATCCTCCCATCCGCCGGCGACTTGTCCACCGCCGGGAACAGCGCCACCAGCCTCTTCGTTATGTTGAACCTCCCTTCCTCCCCGAAGTACGTGACTGCATCGTCGTCCGGCCGGTGTATCTTCTCCAAGAGCGGGTCGAAGTTTGGGGACGACGGCAGCTTGTTGTACCCGAGCCGGCGGTGGACCCCTGCTGCCGCCGGCTGCCGCGGAGGGATGGAAGAGAAGAGGAGAGCGACGGCGCCGGTGATTAGGAGGGCGTAGAGGATTGTTATTACTACCGCCCTTGCCATTTTTCAATAAAATGCGGCCAGTGCTCTGCTAAGTTCTGGATTCCATCGGGTGCCAGCGGTCAAGCGCGGCGATGATGGAAATGACAGAATTTGGGAAAGGGAGGGAAAATGGGCGGGGAATCTAATTGCTTCAGCCATTGTTGGTTTGTGCAATTGTGCCCTTTGTGAAATATGGAGGAAAGGGAAAAGATTAGGAGGTATTTGGTATTAACGGTTGGAAGTGAAACAAGCCAAAAACAGCCTTGATTATTTTTTCTTTCTTTCTATATTTATTGCTTTTTTTTCCCTTGTGAAAAATACTTGAATTTCTAGGAGATATCTGTAACACTTTTAGTTGACATAATAATCGAACTTCCCCATTTTTTCACCGAAGACTCCCACTGCTTTATGTCCCGCTTCATACATCTCCTTGAGCAGTTGTTGTATGGACTTATTTTGCTTGTAAGCTTCTTCATGAATATCAATATATTAATTATTTTCTCGCTCCTTATTTTCTGGAACCAAGGTTCTTTGGAGGATGTGGTTCTTTTCTTTCCCACACTGTTCGAGACGCTTCCCCAACAGGGTCAGCCAGCTTGTTAGAGCTCCGGTGAGGCCAATTATTGTGGTGCCCCAACCATTTTGTTCATTTCGTCCCCATGGGACCAGGAAATTTGTTTTCTTTCGCCTTTTGTAGGCCAGAGCTTCTGTGGCTCTTGTTTTCTCTTTCTTTGGTAGTCCAGTTAGGACAACTCTTCCGAGTGTGTCCCGTCTTCTTGCATATCCAGCAAAGTGGGTTCTTTGCAGCAGGATCCATCTGGTAAATTTATTTAGTTGACGATAGTCTATGACCATACGAGCTTTGCCTCATATCTGCTCTGCATGATTGTTTCTTTTTAGCTATTATTTTGGTAAATAAGCCAATTTAATGAGATAATTGGCATGCAGGGAGTTCATATTTACACTTTTTGAAGGAATTGAAAAACCAACACCGACCTTTGCAATGGTTCATTTACAGTTTCTCAACCATTGTATAGGTTCGGCCTATAAAAGTTGGACCGATTTGGTTATTCCAACCGCCATATCGGTTCGATTCAGTTCAACTCAGTTTGATTTGGTTTGGTTGGCTACACAAACCGATATGACTGACTACCAACATATTACATAAAATCGACAGGATTCGCAGCCACGACTTATCAATATGGTTCTTCAAAAAATTCTCTTGAATCTTTCCCATTTCGTTTCCATTCTAACCATTCAAAATCCCAACAACACTAACATGTCTAAAGTTTCTAAGGCTATCTATATGCATAACGAAAGATTAGCTATAAAACTACCATTAGTTAGTCGTTCTTTTGGACTCCTGCTGTCTGGAGACAAGACCAATTCAACTCACATAAATCCCTGGCAGACTTGCCGTCGTTATCCTTTACATTTACGTTGGCATCTCGCTTCACTAGAAATTCAGCGATACCTTCCCTCTCGCAGACAACAGCGTAATGCAGTGCAGTTTGCCCTTCGCTGTCCTATCAAACGCGAAAAATAACCGAAGTCAGCAACTGCCAGCACAAGAAGAAACTCGATCTCTGCATTTTTGTCAAAGAACGAAATCATTCAAACAGAACACCAGAATTCTTGGAAACATGATCAAAGAGTTGAGAGAGGAAAGGGATCAGGACAAGTATTTGACTTTACCTTTGCATTTACATCAGCATTTCGTCCAACGAGGAGTTCCACGATATTCAGGTGACCACGATCCACAGCCCAATGCAGAGGAGTCCGCCCTTCGCTATCTGAATCGATCACCATGCTCAGTTTAGGTACGATTCTCCAACAACATTTTGGGGATTACTGTCAAGTGTCAACTCACTCAATGGTGATTAGTAGTTGACTAAAGATTCTAAAACAATAGAGATACAACTTCGAAGTCCATGTTAACGTAACACTAGGTATAATCTGATTATGCGAAAGATGAAGTAGGAAACAAGGACAGAAACAAACCTTTCAAGTTGACAGAAACGTCATGGTCAATAGATTTCGACAAACTAGCTGCATCTCCTTCTCTGGCGAATGCGTGGACAGCATCCATTTTTCTGAGACAAGAGAAAGAATTCAAAACCTCTC